AATAACATCCCTATACTTCAAAATCCTATCTGTTATTCCATGTTTAAAACTTTAAGAGCGGAAAATTTAAAATATAAAGTTGTGAACACGAGGCGAGTAGAAATAAGTAAGTAAAATTTAAGTTTGTAATGTTTCAAAACATGTAGGCATGACACTTATTTTACAGATTTTTTAAATTTCCATACGTCAATGGTCTTGATATTCATTTATTGCGCAATATAATTCTACTGCTAAAAAGTTTGTCACTTTGTGTGGAATAAAATTACTTTTTATTATTTTTACGTGAATATATTAATTTATTAACCATTTGTTACAATACAGTTTGGCGTAATTTTGCTGAGATACGAGCCGCCACTTAATAAAGTTGTCTGGTGTATAGTTTTGGTACAAGTCAGCACAGAGAAGAGGTTTTGTATTTATGTTGTTCATAATACACAGTCACCGCTAATAGGTGTTGTATGTCTTATTTTACTAATATATTTGAAGCCGCTTACAAGAATTAGACCCTATGCAATAAAAATTTATCGAAAATTCAGGCAACTCTGATTTTCATGCATTGATGGTTGTAATTGCAAACTATTAGATCGGATTAATAAACACAAAGTTTCGCTTTAACCACAGTCAACGAATGTTACGTCATATTGTAATCTACTTCCTCAAGTCAGTAAGTTGTCTTTCAACAATCAAACTGAAAGGATGTCTATTTCACAAGTGCCTCGAATATTAATTGTGGCATCTCATGTTTAATTAACTTGCCAGAATGCGTTTAGGGATCTATTTAATTACTTTTCCGTGCCACACAAATCGTTCCGCTCGGTGTTAAGTGACGATAGTTTAGCGGATATCAATCAACGTTGTTAAGATCTGGACATTTATAATGTATTTTGTTTTCTGGTTTCAATGTAATTTTATTTTTTGACAAATACAACAAGTGTCAGGAATTGTTTACGTGATTTTTCGACCACTCTCTATATTAATCACCACTAACAGCTGTTATCTGGTGTAATGTTTGAACACATTACAATTTTATCATGGCAGTAATGCGATTTATTATTTGTAATACATTAGCCGCCGCTGGCGTATTGTTTATCGTGTTGTACTGGCTCACCAGCCGCCACTGACATGTTATCTGGTGTATTGTTGGTCTGTCACTATAACTTTGCAGCTAATTCCCTGTCTGTCGTCTTCAAGTTAAGCAACTTAATGCCTGCACATTATCATGTCTGCCCACTTGTCAACTATCTCGCGGTGTGTCTCTACCTGTCAGCATTGTTCCACGAGACGCGTAGCAGGCGATGCACAACTTCGCACAACTGTCTGTCCGTCTGTCGACAAACTGCCCGATTTTATTCCAACATCCGAACTCAATTTCCATAGTCGAGAATAATTAACAAAGCTAGATACATTTTTTTCCCCACAGATTTCAGAATGACAGAAATGTTCAGAGACTTTTCTTGTCAACTTCATCAAATATCAACGGGATGTCGCCCGAAAAAAGTAACTAAGGAACTTCCACATATTGTTGCCACAGTGTGCGTTACAGTTGAAAAACAAACAGACAAATAATTACGCACAAGTCCTGAACGGACCTTAAGACAAATATCATAGAAAATTCCCTGCTCACCACAGCGAGCTTCTGAAATCAACACACGGGAAACTATTTATCTATGATCCGTTTAATATTAAACTATTTCCATCTAGGTTTTCCAAAAGACAACAGAATGCCACGTGTTTTCCCCACTGAAGATCTACTCATTTCATTTTTACCATTCTCGGTCCACGCCATTGTCATCATCACCCTGTTAGTAAGTCGTAAAACCTTTCGAGGTGTAATGCCATCCAGTATGTTCATTATTCTATATCGCAGGACCACATATTATCTGTTTTTTTTTAAATATCCGCAGTCAATGTTCTTCCCCAAGAAGAACAAAAAAGTAAAGTTAAAGCTGTCCCAGCACTTAAAATATCACGTCTTTAAATACAGGCGTACCTCGCTTTATTGCGCTTCGCAGATATTGCGTCTTTTACAAATTGAAGGTTTGTGGCAACCCTGCGTCGAGCAAGTTTATCGGCGCCATTTTTCCAACAGCATGTGCTCACTTCGTGTCTCTGTGACACATTTTGGTAAGTCTCGCAATATTTCAAACTTTTTAATTATTATTTTATCTGTTAATAGACTACAGTACAGTGTAAACATAACGTTTATATGCACTGGAAAACCAAAAAAAATTCGTGTGGCTCGCTTTATTGCGGTGGTCTGGAACCGAACCCGCAATATCTCCGAGGTATGACTGTATAGAGTAGTAGAGGTTCAGCTCCACACACAATTATCTGCATTAGTGGAG